ATTTCCGTAGAAATTGGCATAGGCCTTAGATACCTCTCTTTTCTTCTTAATATTTTCTTTATCAGTTTATACCCTCTTCCAACTCAGGTTCTCATTTGTAAGCTAATTTAACAATTAGTGAACAAACTTGTAACAGTAGTATTATTCATAATAAGTAAAAATATCTTATTTTTAATATTATAATTATTTAATATATTAATTAAATGTCTTTTGCTATTTGTCCTAATTTTTAAAATCTTAATATAATATTAATTATTTGCCAATTATTACTTATCCATGATCTTGTAATAATTGTATAATAATATTTATGAACAATTGAGTATCATCTATTATAGATTAGTGAAATTCATTCTGGTATTTCTACTATTATATTTTTGACAAATTCAAGTTTCATTTCATAAATGCTTCCTAAGAGATAATATAATATTGTTGTTGAATGAGGAACTTTATATAAATTTGTTATATAATAAAGCTTGTTTATCATTCTATGAAATAGTAAACTATTAAGAATATTAAAAGACATTCCAGTATTAACAACTAAATTAACTATTAAATTGTTTACATCTTTCTTTGTAATAGATTTAATAAATTCAAATTTTATATTTTGAGCTATACTTGAGATGGCATATTTTTTTAAGTGTAATTTGCTATTATTATTCAAGTATTATTTTTTTATAACAATGCTTGCATTGCCAAATAATTCGATTTTCATGCAATATTTCTATTCAATATTCTTTTGTAATATATATATTGTTATCTATTTTTGTTTTATTATTTTCCTATGAGCTATTGAAATAGAATTATTAGAAAATATTGTCATTAAACCTTCTATTAAAAATGAATAGTAAAGTGTAAATACAAAGATAAAGATAATAAAAAGCAAGTTTTATTCTTTTACTTCAAAATATTCTTTTAATAATATATCACAGTAATACTAATATCAAATAATTATCATTTTGATAAAAATATATGTGTGTAATAGACATGGCTGGCACATGCTTAAAATATTGTGGCACAGGTACTGTGCAGTCAGAAGTTCTGGACCCAATAAAAAAATAGCAGATACTTGAACACTAGTACTTTTGTTCAGCATAATGTTGAAAGTGTCTGGCATGATACCAATTGTATCTGGCATGATTACTTGCAGAATTCTAATCCAGATATATCTGATCCGGGTCCAAACATTAAAATGACCTTATGTACTTGTGAAATAAAGTCATCAGACACTTTTTTCGCAAAATAATAGTAAGAAAACTAATAAAAAAAAACTTGTATTAGTGTTCTAAGTATATATTCAACATTTTTGAAATATTTTATACTAGATTTTTAAATCTTTTTAACATTCACTAAAAAGTTATAGCTAAAATATATTAGCATATGATATTTCAAAAAAAACCAATAATTTGCATGAAAAATGTATATCATTATAATTTTATTGATAGCACAAAAAACTAATAATTGCATAAAAAAAGTATATTATTACAATTTTATTGATGGCACAAAGATTAATGAAAAATTATGCTTTTATATTTTAAGCTTATAGTTTTAAAATAGTTTGAAGTTTTTAATACTAAAATTTTAATTGTTTTTTTATTACTATTTGAAAAGTTATAACTAAAATACAAATGCATAGATAAATGACCTGAATATAAATAGTAAGTCAATAACGCAGTAAATAATGAAAAAAATAATAAAAAAATTCATATAGCTGTTCTATATTTATAAATTCAAAATATTCTGAAATATGTAATATTAAATCTTCAAGTTTTTCAATCACTCTTTAAAAATTTATATCTAAAAAACATTAAAATATTATATTTCAACTTTTAATAATAGATTTTATACTTCATAAAACAATGGTGAGGGAACTAATGAAAAAATATGCTTTGATATTATAATAGAATAAATGCCACATATTCTGAAGTATGTTATACTAAAATTTCTAGTTTTTTTTAACTATAATTATAAAGTAATACTTTTGCACAGAAAAACAATATTTTGAAATATAATATTTTAATATATTTCGCCCATCTTTTTAAAGAGCAATTATAAAAATTTGAAATTTTAGTATAACATACTACAGAAAATTTCAAATTTATGTATTTAGAACACTAATACAAGTTGTTTCATTGGTTTTTCCACTGTTATTTCGTAAAAAAAGTGTCTGATAACTTTATTCCATCGAGTGTATACGTATATATATTGTGCCTCAAATCAAATTAAGATAGGGGTATTACTAGAGTTAGGATTGGGATTAACGTTAATGCTGGAAGGTGGGTTAATGTTGGCTGAAATAAGCACGTAAAGTGTGATCTGAGTCAAATCGTAATCTGAGGCACAACATATATAAAAATTTTTATGTAAAGAAATACTATTTTGAATTAATAGATCAAAATTATAATTGTTTATTTTTGTATTATAATAATAAAGATTGCATAATGACACCAAATATAATTAAATAAATAATTGTGATAAATATAAAGTAAATCGTGAGCACTTTAATAAATTAATTTTCTATATTTGTTTTATTCTAGAGTCTTCAATGTATATATTCTGCAAAGTTTCTTGTAAAACTCTTATAGTTTTGTTAGATCACTGTTAAAATGATATTAAAACCTTTTTAGTAAATCTGTCAAAAGTCAAACTATATTAAATCTTGTCAAAAGTTAATTGATAAAGGAGAATTTGAGTAAAATCTTAAAAAATTTTAATTTTTAATATTAAAATTTATAGATACAAAAAGTTTCTTCAATAAAAATTTTAAGCTATTTGGTTAAATTTGACTACAGTGAATTACCAAAAATAATTGATTATCCCAAAATTAATTAATAAAAATAAAAATTTTCTCTTTATATTGAAATTTTCATTTTATTATGCAATATTTTTTATTTTGTATGAGAATAAAGATAATAATTTATACTTTATAATTTTTAATAATTAAATTTGTGTTTTATCAATAAAAAATTTTACACTCAGTTTGCAACCAGAAATTATTTTCTAATTAAAAATTTCAAAAAAATTATATGTTAAAGTATATATTATCATCTTGATTATTATATAAAATAAAATAAAATATATTTCATAATATAATGAGAAAATTTTACTTTTTACTATGGTGCCGGAAGTCATAACTCGATAATCACGTGATTCTGTTTCAATTTCTGGTGACAATCTAATGTCACGTTTTTGTAATCGACCAATAAAATAACGATATTTTAATTGTGTGAAATGGTGCAAACCAATTTTATTTATTACATGCTTTACATTATGATAATTCGGGCTGGCATTATAGTAATTTAGCATTAGCATATTGTCGGCCTGAATTATAATGAATGCCAACCAATAAAATCAGGTTCATGTGTTAAATATTCACGTAATTTGTTGCAAATTTGGACCGATCATATAAAGTGACCAATTTTAAACGCCTATAACTTATTATCTAGGGCTTTTTTTGAAAATTTGATCGGTGGTTTAATAGAACTTGTCTTAAAGAATAAAGTTACTGGTTTGATTTTTCTAAATTCCATTTTTGTAAAGTTTTGAAAGATTTTAAAATAATTCATTTTATTGTTGAGTTTATGTTTTATTAATAAATTTTGGGGTGATTGAAACACCAGATTTTATTCTTCATTCAATTAAAATCTTATTAATGAACCGACGAAACATAGAGTTTCGACTTTTGACATTAAGTTTACCAGGGGACTTTATAAGGTTGAGCTTGGATAACACTTGTTTTCATTGGAGCATGAGCCTAATCCGCTCCACTAACACCATAGACAGAATTATATTTTTCTTTTTCTTCAACTTGTACTGGCTGGAATCATTTACAAATTGCCTACATCCAGAATATTAAACGTGACAGCTTCTTTCATTTCAGATTAAGTTTGATTTTTTACCAGAAACTGCAAATGGATATTAACATTAATTACAGATACCGTATAACACTGACTTCGCGTTGTGACTCGCGTATTAGTTTTGAACAGAACTCACAATATGCAAAGTAAAAAATGACAATTTTTTACCTCCTGTAAATTGTCATATACCCGGGCACTGGAGTCGCTCGGGATGCACCTGTTCAAATGCCCAGTTTACCGACAACTTATTCCATTCCACAGACAGTTTCACTGACGACATATCACCGACAATCGATTTCATGGTTAGGGCATGAGTGCGGAATATAGGTTATCTTAAGGATTATCTAAATACAGTTTATGCTATAACCACTCGTTATCGTTATAGTCAGCCAATGTCGGTGAAATGGGTTGTCGATGAAATGGCGTCGATGAAACGGGTGTCAGTGAATCCTGCCAAATCTCTATATGGTAAATTTTTGTTTCAAGATAGGTTGTTTGGGGGTACATGTTTCGGGATCTTGCTACGAATTGTTTTAGTCGCTGTAAACAAATACTTTTACATATAAAAATACGCCATCATGCTAGACTTAATTTCCATTTCTTATAATTGGGAATTTGGTAATCAAGTATCGAATAGAGCAATCAAAACAAGAGCAAGGTCAGTTTTTAAAGAGCTAAATGGTTCCAATCATCGGCAACCTATTTTTAACTTGCTTGAAGCGGAAAGCTTTAAATAACACTTGAAATGACTAAAATATATAGTTCAATGTGATATTAATTATAAATTCTTAATCTATTTTGTTAGCACATTTTGTTTTAATCAATATGTCGGACACATTTTGAAAGACAATTATCTGAGGGTCTTTATTGTTTGGCAATTGATAGGGTCATCATTATTCTCATTTTCTTGTTTTGAATGCTTAAACACGAGCGCAATAATAATTAATCATGGTAAGTTCAACGAAAAATTTTAAGTCAAATTTTTTAAGAAACAAACTCATTTGTAGTGAGTTTGAAAAACATTCAAAGACTGTGTTCGGAATTTTATCAAAAGCAGCCGAGACGGGAGAAAGTAATCATTCAGTCTATTTTTCACGAAGTAAACAATGAAAGTAATTTTAATTTTGAAAATTAAATTTTAAATTGCAAATTCAATATATTTAATAAAAATCTCGACACCCTAACTAATTTCTAGAACGCGCCTCGCATCCGATTGTGTTCAAGCAGTAATTAACAGGCGTCTACTAATCTTTATGGTCAATTCCAGAGATGGTCTCCGAAAATTCGCAAGTATTGTAAAATAATTGATACTTACGCGTACAATATTATTGAAGAGCGACGACGAGAGCCTCTAAAAACGGAAAGTCCTACTGACATAATTGTTTATAGATGCTAAATACACTAATGGAGAAAACTTGAACGATAAAGGATTACGTGATATTACTCTTTGATGGTGAGCGAATAATCAATATTCCAGGACGAGATACTACAGCAGTTGTAAGAAATCTTCTCTTATAAATATTAATATAATATTGAAATTTTTGCTTGTTTTGTAGGAATATTATTGGTTTAGTTTTGCTCAGTTTGGTTCAAAACTATTAGTTTTAAGATCAAAATGGGTTGGGTTCAAATCTGGTTTCATGAATTTTAATCAATAGAATGACTCTTAATGGTTAAACACATGTATTTGGTTTTGAACCAAACTGCAGTTTAACCGGTTTGAATCAAACCTGGATGATGTATAGAATAATGACAAATCCTTCAGTCGAGAAAAATTTACAAGAATTTGAATCGTCCATTACGCCCGAAAATCCGATTCCCGACTGTGATAGTATTAAAAACTCGTAACATAAAATGAAGCATTGAAGTGTGTCACTTAAATGACAATCTTTAATATTATTTATATTATTTACGGTAAAGGGCGATATCTTACCTGAAGGTGCCCCAATAAACGCTGTTGTGGGTTCCATATGCAGGTGATAGAGACGAGCACGTCTGGTTTAAACCAGAACTCTTGAAATTGGCGAAAAGTACATTTAAGTTTATCACTTTCAATGCTGGGCAATTATAGACTTTTGCTTTATCAAAAGTTTTGCATCACGAAAAGTTTTATGAATAAAATTTAGCGCCTCGAATCTCAATTTAGTGCCCCTAATTAAATCTTTAAATATAGTTCTGTATTAAATAAAAAAATGAAGTGATACACACAATTTTTAATCAGCAAAACTTTGACGCTAAATATTTCTTTCACGAAAAAATTTCATTTAAAAAAATGTTTTCTGGTGCAGCCATCCAATGCTGTGTCACTGCTGAAATTTGATACACATGCATGAGTCACATGAAGCCAATAAAATGCATCATGTAGAATATACCCCAAAAAGTAAAAATTTAAAGCCAATTGATTGTATTTTTGAAAAAATAATACAAGACTTGTAGCAACTTAAATACAAGGACTTTGGATTGGAAAGTAAAAGAATTTTTTCTCACGCTTTATATATGAAAAAATTTCCCACGCTTATATATTTATATATGGAAATTTCAAGTTATATATATACGTATCTATATTTCTATTGGTAACTATCATTTTAAAGCTAATCAATTGTATTTTTGAAAAAGAACAAAAAAATTTATGTGTATTTTACTATAAATGTATAATTTTAAATCGGGCGTTACTTTTTGGGGATATTATATACATGTACGTATAATGTTTTACATGATTTTTTATATGGAATCAATCATGTATTCAATCAGAAATGGTTCATGTGATATAGTTTGCATCATTTCTATAATGAGTTCTATCTTTGAAACATTCAAACTGCTCACTAAATTAATATTTACTATACAAAAAATTACATTCTATTATAAATCTGATCAAAGGCTATTTGGTAATGTATTTTTTGTGATTAAATATTTAGATGCAAATCTTTTACAGTTCAAAGTATTGGATGGCTTTAGACCTTCCGCACTACATTTTCAGCTCGAATATTGAAATTACAATTAGTACATATCTATAATGTTGACATTCGGGGCCGAATTTTGCACTAACTTTGATGAAATTTAGAGGATAAATACTTCTCGTATAATAGAACATAAAATGACTATAATAAAAAATCGAGGCATTAACGTTAAATAGTCGGTCAAACAATTAAAAGAAATCAACTGCCAAATTGATAGTGATACATATCGATATGAATAATTTACTACTAATCTAGAAAATAATATGTCAGATGTTAAGACTCGAGGAGACGAAGAAATTCGGCACGAGTGTTTTCAAGCTCGCTAAGATGTTGAATAATAATAGGTTTATAATCGATCTTATTGTTATTGTAAGCGTTAATAATAAAGTCATACGACTTTTGGTTTATAATTCCAGATATCTCTTGGTCCGTATTAAGAACGGTATCAAAATTTGTTGAACTAGAAACTGCATTATGAGAAAACAAAGTTTCCGAGACATTTGACGATTGGGGAAATTGTTGTTGTCCAGGAAAGAAAAAACCTTCTGGTTCTAATTGTGAATCAAAATTTGTTGAACTAGAAGCTGTATTATGAGAAAATAAAGTTTCCGAGACAATTGACAATTGGGGAAATTGTTGTAACTGTGATGGTGGCAGTGGGAACGACTGTAACGGCAACTTTTGCAACTGTGACGGTTGTTGATTTGCCATTCTGTACGACACTATTTTTTTATAATTATGATCAGCTGCTTTAGCAATGTCAAAATAAACTTGTCGAATGTCCGAAGGTTCATTTCTCCATGCAGCTCCAATAAGTGGAGAAAGCTCCGTCATGTTATATTTTGTATTGTTTAAATTTAACTGTTTAATATAATTCATTCTATAAATGAAAAAAGCATTAGCAGTTTTTGTAGGTTGGCTAGATTTACTGAGTGCAAGGTTAACAACCTCCTCGAGAGTTATGCGAGGTTGTAAAGTTAGACATGTAATAGAACGCGAAGAGAAGGGATTATTATAATTAAGGTCCATGACTTGATTAAAAGATGTTTAATCGAGACACTCTTTTTATCGTTATTGTTAAAAATCGATCAGCAATTCTATTTCCTTGTTCGGAAAATAACAATAATGATAACGATAGTAATCATACGCATTTACATTGGATCATATCTAATAAAGCGAACCTAAAAATTTTCCGTCTTGTGTAACATCAAAATTTCACATTGAAAACATTGGGGTCATTCACACTAATGCGTAACGTAGATCATAGGCAACTTCCAAAAGAGAATTCATTGAAAAACATTGGGTGGGGTCATTACCAAAAAAATAATTCATACCGATTCTAATACGTATGTACATCATCGTAACGCAAGTTAATTGGATCATAAAAATGTCAACATTTCGATATCAAAAATTCTCTATACCTGATTAGATCATAAAAATGTCCTGATTGGTTAATCATTTACGTGTTGCACTTTTCAAATACATGTACCACAACGCATTAAAAAAACTCATTCTATTATTTACAATTCTGGCTAAGGTTTATATAATACATTTTACATTTTATTTACAAAACAAACCAATATTGACTGTTATTTTATTTTAGTGTTCGGTGACTTGTAGCCATCCTCTGTATGTACATGTATTTACTTTGGAATGAAGAGTAATTACCCAAGAAATTTTGAAATCCAATTTATTTACAATTTCCTCGAAATTTCAGAGTAATCAATTTTCGTGAAAAAATAGCCATATGTAGTATAATATTTATTGTTACTTTCAATTGCTTCACGAAAAGGCGTTATATCTTTCAGCGGTATTTTTTGTCCATTGGTCATATCAGACAATAGACTAAACCCATGATTTAAGTGGTTTATTTTTAGACTATTAAACAGACTTTAATACAGTACATGCAACTCTGATAATTCAATTTCCTTGATATATGTCCTGAAAAACAAATATCGATATGGTGGTAATTTAACTTTACGATCGGTGAACCATTTGGTTAGGTTCTAACGTTACATTATGTCTTAGTTTTGTGCCAGCTTTAATGCTAGGAGCAGGCCGAGAAGACAATATAAATTCGGTTTCTTGTCCTAAATTGCATTAATTGATTATATATCGTATGTATTCTGATTTTTGACATGATAACGATCAATTTTTCAACTTACACATGAATCATAAATACTAACTACTTTGCTTGAACTGACCATACGCATTAGCATAATACTCCAAGAAAAAGGTGTGATTATAAAGAGGGTGACTGCATGAAACAAACGAAACATCACACACTACCGATATTGGTACATGTGCTTGACACAACATCACGTGATTAATTATTTTAGCTCATCAAATACGAAGTGTCAATATGAACATATGTATTGATTAATTTATTAAAAATCTACTTGATTTGCTAAGTATACCTGATGCTTTATTTCGAGATACGTTAAGACTCAAGGAAACGAAGAAATTTGGCATGAGTGTTTTCATGCTCGCTAAGATATTGAATAATATAGGTTTATAATTGATATTATTGTTGTTATAAGCATCAATAATAAAGTCATATGACTTTTGATTTATAATTCCAGATATCTCTTGGTTCGTATTAAGAACGGTCTTAAAATTTGTTGAACTAGAAGGTGTATTATGAGAAAACAAAGTTCCCGAGACATTTGACGATTGGGTAAATTGTAATTGTGAATCAAAATTTGTTGAACTAGAAGCTGCATTATGAGAAAACAAAGATTCCGAGGCATTTGACGATTGGGGATAATGTTGTGACTGTGATGGTTGTGGTGGGAACAGTTGTAATCGTGACGATCGTAACGGCAAGCTTTGCGACGTGACGGTTGTTAATTTGCCATTCTATACGACACTATATTTTTATAATTATGATCAGCTGTTTTAGCAATATCAAAATAAATTTGTCGAATGTCCGAAGATTCATTTATCCATTTAGCTTCAATAAGGGGAGAATATTCCATCATGTTATATTTTATATTGTTTAAATTTAACTGTTTAATATAATTCATTCTATAACGATAAATGAAAAAAGCATTAGCAGTTTTGGTAGGTTGGCTAGATTTATTGAGTGCAAGTTTAACAACCTTTTCTATAGTTACACGAGGTTGAACAACAATAGATTGTGAAGAAAAGGAATTATTATAGTTTGGGTTCATGACTTAATTAAAAGAGTTTAAAATTAATCTCTGCTTTTATCTTTATTGCTAAATTGATCGGCAATTCTATTTCGAAAAGTGTCACACTGAGAATTATTGGGATTACGTATCGATAGTACACTGGGAACTATCGCTATATATAGTAAATTATCAGGGAGTTATTGCAGGATCATTTCCAATGTGAATCATTATCGTTATGTATTAACCAATCACGCTTAATGAATCAACCTATCCTGTTGCACAAAGATTCTTAATAAATGCGGCGCAGGCAAGTTTTTACATAAAATGAATAAATGATCAAGTGTTCCATCGCTGATTGGTTGACTGCATACCGGCCGGTTTACGTTTAACATAAAAAATGTAATTGCAAATAAACAAGGTTATTTAGACGCTGGGTATCCACCGACCTAAATTTACTAATTTCACCCCAAGTACTGATTGGTTGAGGATATTGAAGGTTAGTTTCAGCGTTAAGATTAAGGGTTAGGGTTAAGACTGGAGGAAAGATTATATGTAAAATTGTCTTCCCGACATTTTTTATTAGTGCTTCAAGCCAGGTTTGCCCATCTGTTTTCCGTATTTTTCGCATTTAATTTTCTTGGAGTTGATCAAAAATTTATGCATCTTTATTGGTTGATTTAGAAGACCCGGTAATGTCAGACAAAATATTACGGGAAAACGTCACTACATGGTCCTATACCAGATTCTCTGTGTCAACGCTTCAATAAATATTTTGCACCTGATTAAAATATATCAGTAGTTTCATAGTGTTTTTGGCAGTAACTTGCGTTACTTCTCTAGAATCATTTTGATTTCCTGCAAGGATATTTAGAAAAATATAGTCACTCTCTCTAATCAGAACTTCCGAAAGGTTACGTCGATCATAGACCAGCGGCCAATAAGGATGAGCAATTTTTTGATCAGCAACCAATCAGAAAACAAAATTTTTAATCCGCAGAAAACAAAAAATGCGGGAAATAAATGCCTAAATCTAGCTTGAAGTACTAATAAAAATGTCAGGAAGACAATTTTGTCCTCCGCTCTAAGCCTAACCCTGATTCTACCTTTAAAATCAACCTTTATCATTAATTTCCGAATTTTTCTGAGATCGTAACCTGGCACGCATTTCGGAAGTGCCTCTAATCATTATGAAGCATAAGAAATTCGACCGCAACCTCTTTATGTAGATAGGTTATTCTTCTGATTTACAGGGATGTAAATTAATAAACAAGCTTTGAAAATATTATGTAATTACTTGATCATAATCTGCTTTTAGCATAATATAAAAATATAGCATTTATTATTTATTCTAGCTCTTTGGCTTGGATTCAATATTCTGAATTCATCAAATTTATAAATCAGAACAATTGACTCATAAAAAACGTTTTTAAATACCTTTTCTTTTTGGTCGCATTCATGTTTAAAGCAGTGATGACAAATGGCTTGAAATGACAAATGACCAATGATCGGTCATTTCAAAGGGTCAAATGACCTAACTGGTCATTAAAAAGTCAAGTGACCTCATGATATTCTTTTATCCAATAAAATTAAGGTTAAACTTTGTGATGTTATGAATAAAATGACTCTCTAAACCTCTATTGTTTAAGTATAAATCACATGACAATGACCTAATGATCTAGTTCATTTCGATGTCATTTGCAAAATGAGTAAGTGACCTGGTCATTTACCATGACTGACTCAAAATGATGGCGATCAAGCTACTAATGCTACGTCTACTTCGAAGGCTAGTCAACTTGGTCTCCAACACTTCTCTACATTCGTTTGATTTTAAGCTTAATTGACTGCATTTGATATGTTTTAAAAATTTACTTAAATTAATTTACATCATTCATACTCATACGAAAATATTTTTTAGGCAAAACAAAGTCAATTGTTTATGTATACCGATATCGATATGGGGTTTTTGTCTAAGGAATTCACAAATAACATGTTGACACATGATAACCACATGAATTCTTGTCATACATGGCATTGTCTTTGCCTTTATGGTATGACGATTAAATGGTGCAAAAAACTCTTAAATCGATAATATGGTTCATGTTATAAAAAATCAAGAAAGTCCTTTTCTATCTATAATATTATCGGTTAAATTTGTATTTTACTTCCCAGTTAAGAAATTATAATTTATACCACGAGCGCCTGCACCATATTAAGTGCATAATATATATCAAATTTCAGATAATTTGTTATACGCATAAAATATAAGGTATAGAGGGTGGCCAGAAGTCGCCGAACAATGTATAATCTTTGAACTATAATTTTTTTAGCAACTAGTAATGATTTTTAATGCATTTGGATTTGTCTTATAGAGACGAAAATTTTGATAATTATTTATAAAAACAAACCAATTTTCGTGAAAAAATAGCCATATGTAGTATAATATTTACTGTTACTTTCAATTGCTTCACGAAATGGTGTTATATCTTTCAGCTGTATATTTTGTCCATTGGTCATATCAGATAATAGAATAGACCCATGATTTAAGTGATTAATTTTTAGACTATTAAACAGACGCAGAAAAAGGAAATTTTAATACAGTACATGTACAGTCGCCACAGAAAGTAACGCCCGATTTGGATGTGCAACATCAACATAAATTTAAATGTGGCGGTTTT